TGGTCGATTCTGTTCTGGGGGCATGGCCAGTAGCCACTTTGGTTTCCAGAAAAAGCAGTATGAATGAGTGTAGAGGAGTCACCGAAGGTCTGACATGGCGGTGCCTCTGATGTGTCAGACCTAAATGATGTGTGGGCAGTTTGTGGTGGCATCCTTGGACACTTCAGATTCAAATCTAAGTTTTTTTGTCTCCTCCCTCCCTACCAAAATTTCAGCATCCCTTTTCACAACTTGTCACTTCTGTTTCCATTTATTTGAATTGCTCTTGTTTGACTGGCACTAAAACTCCAGTTGGGGTTTTGTTGAACTGTCATTTATAGAGTTCTGTGTCCACTGCAGCTCACTGAGGAACTCTTTCCTTTACTACCTTTGCTTCCTGTCTCTGGTTAGTGATTCACTTTGAATTTCCATTTGAGATGAAACCGTTGCTTGCAGAATGAACAGTCACCTATGGAAGGGGAATCATGCACAGAGCAGCATGTGGGAGTTTTCTCTGTACACTTTGAAAGGGGGGCTAAAAGCCCCACATTTGTGACCTTCTCCCCTTGCAGATGACACTGACTTGCCATCGAAGGAGCCTGAAGATTCCAGAGTCTTATGTCTACTCAGCATACATGGTGTGCACAGTGGGCCAGGCTCTGTGCGAGGAGCTGCCTACAGCATATGTGCCAAGTGTGTCATCCTTTCGTGCCACTTACATTCTTATAACAGGATGTCTAGGGGGAAAAGTGCACAAAAGCATAGATTATACTAACAGATTTCCGTTTTGACTTCCTGTAAGCTGACTTACAACAAGTAGTTCTTTTACATGTGCGTGATGACCTGAAACTACTCTCCAGATGCTAATGTCCTTATGTCCCTATCCTATACTTCTAACAAGAGTCAAAGGATCCCCAATACTGAATAAGCTAGTTGCTAGTTGATGGCATCACATGATTCAACTAAATATTATGGCACCAGTGAAACAGGGGGTTGTTTTTCAAAACATGAAGCTAAATGCTTCAGAAAGACTTGATACAGAAGGTTACAGAACATACAGTGTTCAGACAAGTGTTTGTAATCCCAGAGTTAGGGAAGCTGAGGCAGGAGGATTGTAAGTCTCAGCCTAGCCTTGGGTACATAGTGAGACCTTGTCTGAAGAACACAAAAGGAAAATGATGTATTGATGTGTGTGCCTGTTTCCTTATCTATTCCCTCATGGCAAGGTCTCTCCCTAAACCTGGAACTCATTTTCTCATCTACTCTGGGAGCAGCAAGCCCCAGCAATCTCCTATCTTTGTCATACCTGGAACTGGGGTTACAGGTATAGGTCTGACCTGTTATATGGGTACTGGGATCTGAACTCTAGTCTTCATGATTGCACAGTATGGATTTTTAACTGTTGATCCATCTCTCCAGCACCCATATTTTCTTTTTAAACTATGATCTTAAATGGAACATTGACAGTTTTGTATTTCTTGAACCGAATATACTCAGGAATGTGTCCCCCACCCAAGTGCTTTTCTGACTGAATATGCATGACTGCCCCACATGAAAGCCCTATGCTTTATTTATTGAAAAAGGACATTCTTTTGGTGCCACGAACCATCCCAGCCAGGTATGGGGGTCCCTGGGATGAGGATTTTCATAGACCAGGTGGGTAAGGATTCGGCAGTGACAAACAGAAACAAACACAGAGGCAGTTTGAATCTGAGTGTATTTTGCAGCTTTCAAGCAAGGCTTTTTATCCAGGATAAAGCATAGCTTCTCACTGAAGTAAACCCAGATAGAACAAATGACTTCATCATTACTAGGCACAGTAACACACAACTTATCCAAGGCTAACAATAAATCAGAAAATCATTCAAGGCTAACCATAGCTAACCACCTGTTTTGTAAGATCAGGTTAATAAATTTTTATAGTCAGTTATTGTTTAACATTTGTTGCCTAGCTTTTGTGAATCTTTGAAATATTGAACTATTTTGATTTTTTCTTATCAAAGACTTTCTTTACCAAACTTTTAAACCTACTCTCAATTACATATGTACAGCCATATGAAGTTGTATTGTTGGTAAAGTTTTCATCAATACTATTTGTACTTATGTGAATGACATGAATGATTTGAAAAGCGCTGGTTTTCCTGGAGCATAGGCTTTCAGGAACATTTCATCAATATGAGAAAAGAATAAGAACAGAGATTGCCATGATAACTACAGCTCAATATTTTTCCCTGGCTGAGAGTTCTACAACAGGTTCCAGGAGACCTTCTTTTAAAGTTATTGCCTCAGTCTGTGGAACTTGCCACACAGAATCTACAGGATTTGGTGTGGCATTTTGGAAACAAATTGCATGCTATTCTTACTTTTGGCAAGCAATGTACCATTCTTCACTCTTGTGTCTCAGTCATGCTTTTTTTGGCTTTGCAAGCACCAAGATGCAAACCCATTACTTTACTGAAGCCAGGGCACTTGCAACATTGTAGGCACAGAGTGAGTTCCAGGATAGCCAGAGCTACACAAAGAAGCCCTGTCTTGAAAAAAAAAATGTGATAAGGATGCTGAAGTGTAGCTCTCCATAATTGATGGCTTCTGGTGGGGGTGCAGGTGGGGAAGGATTCAGTTTTCTTTAAGGATGGTCCACTGGAGGTTTGATCATGCTCCAGTGAGTATGCGGGCAACACAAATTTGTTTGTTTGTTTGGGTGGGGGGGGTCACAAGGGTGAGGGTAAGGACCTGGGGAGACAAAGAAGTGGATGTGATCAGGGGCATTATGTGAAATTCCCAAATAATCAATAAAAATATTATGTTGAAAAAAAATTCCAACATAGAGCGCTATCAGAAAAGCTTATTGGCAGTTGGTGTCTGTTGAGGAAGGGAGAGTTACTCTCTTTGGGGGCTGTGGTTGCTGACTGGTTTCTCATGACCCAGTGGGTGGCCACACACTCATTGTTTTTATCAGCAGCATTAATTGGGCTCAGAGGGTTATTAATACAAACTAAAAAGAGGACAGGAAGCTGGACGAGGTGGTGGGGGCACCAGAGGGAACTGGAGAGAGGCAGTGGTAGGTAGACACAATCAGTATATGTTGTCTGTTCTGAAATGCTTTCCTGGCTGTGATAAATCACTGACCAAACTAGCTTGAAGAGAAAAGAATTTATCCGGCTTATTGGTTGAGAAAAGCCACACAGGAGCTGAAGCAGAGACCATGGAAGGACGTTGCTTACTGGCTTGCTTCCCTAGCTCGCTCAGCTACCTTTCAAATACAGCCCAGACATACCAGCCCAGGAATGACACTGCACCCAGTGGCTTGGGTCCTTCTTTGTCAATTAGCAATCAAGAAAATATCCCACAGATATTTCCAGAGGCTTGTCCATGGAACCCGTTCTTCAACTGAGGTTCCATTTTGTCAAGGATGTCAAGTTGACAACTGAGATTAGCAATGTCATTGCATAAACTGTAAAAGAATAAAAATACTATTATAAAAGAAAGAAAAACAAAAATATGGCTATTAATAGACAAGAAAATATGACATTTGGTTTATGTGATTTTTATATGTCACAAAGGTTACTCTTGATTTCCTTTCAATAATTTGGAAGTATAAAAATCAAGAGCAGAATGGAAACATCATTTAAATTCCTGAGATTAAAAAGTGCTAATGGTTGGGGCTGGGGAGATGGTTCAGCTGGAAAAGTGTTGGTTGTACAAGTATGGAGCCCCAGAACCCATAGACTGGAATCCCAGTGTTGAGGACACAGGAAGATCCTGAGGTGAGTGCCAGACAGTGAGATATTGTCTCATAAAGAAGATGGACGCTTAATTACAACACCACAATGGGGAATTATCTCTCAAAATCTTTAAATCATGTCTCACTGGCCTGCACTAAGCTTAGCCTTTCTGCCTATGTGTGTAAATAGCCTGTGTTAGTCAGGTAGTCATCAAGCACTTGAGATATGGTGAGGATGACTAACCTTTTGGTTTTGTTCATGTCTTGTAGCTTCAAATGACCTTTAGCTTCTGTTCCTCCAGGTTCAATTTTAATTTAAAAACTTATGTTTGATGTGAGTGTTGGAATGTTTTTAGAACATGCCACAACTAAGGAATGAAAATTGAGAAGTCTAAATGCAGATCAAGTGTTTAGATGAAGAGTTAGTTTCAAGGGTGGTGACATTCACTGAAATGTCATATATGTATCCTGTTTTATTTGTATTTATTTTGTAATTCTTGGGAGTCAACCAAGGTTCTCATGCTACATTTCCAATCCTCAGTATATAAAAACATATATCAGTTACATGTGGACATTCATAGTATTTTGTTTGTTTGTTGTCTGGTCATAGTTTGGGAGTGGGGACAAGCCCCCTAATTCACTCAAGTGCACTTCTTTTTCTTTTGGAATTCCATACCTACTGTCCATCAAATCTTAGCTTGATGAACAGGCTGTGGCTCTGCCCTCTTAGTCTGTATTTACTAGGCACCTCCTAAGAGCCAATCATGAATTATTCATTTCATCCTCCTGAAAACACTCCCCCCCCCCCCCCCGCAGTGTTAAAGTCTGGGACCAAAGTCCTTAGTCTGGCAGAGTGACCCTAGGATGGGAAGGGCAGAGATCTGACTCCAGTTAGCCTGAGCACCACTGTGTTTTGCTTGAAACCCAAAAGCCACAAAGGTCTCTTATCAGTTGACACTGGCCCCATACTGCCTGGGAGCTATGGCTTTGTTGTTAAGTAGCTGCCAATGGTAGCATTCTGTGCAGCAGCCAGCATCATCAGACCCAAGAGAATTTGAATTCTGTCACAGGCAGACTTCTTTGCTCCCCATAATGGGGTACCAGCCTGAAAGATGTTGCATAGGAATCAACACTGTTGCTGGAAGCTGTGCCTGTGTCAGACTCAGAGTCACAGAGGCTGGGCAGGGAGCTGGAGCAGTTTTAAGTATGCTTGCTTCCTGAAATGGGTGGATACAAGCTCTGCTCCTACTAGCTCTGCTGCAGAGAAACTCAGTTTCACTTTTGCTCTCAACAATGAAAAGAAACTGTGCCTAACTGACTTTTCAGTCCCTTGCTTCTGGGCTGCAGTTTCTCTGGGAAGTTAGACCCGGACAGGACCATGCCCTCCATGAGGACTCTGAAGGGTCCCAGCTTTGGCCAGCAGTTCTGGATGATGGTGATCTGCACAGTGCTCCTGCAGATGCTCTTGCAAGCCCTGTCTGTGGCTGTGACTTATGTGTACTTCACTAACGAGATGAAGCAGGTTAGTAGCAAGGTAGGCTCAGCAGTCTCTCTTCTGCCTCCCAGCTCGCTCCTCTTTGAAACATGAGCTGTGTGTTTATATGTGCCCTTTCTGGTTGCAGACTCTAACTACCCCTGATGAGAGGGCTTCATAAATGTGCAAGCGTGAAAGACTTCCAAGCAGCTATAGTTACAGCGTGGCTCCAAGTGCTACAGGGAGATGCCACAGCATTTCTAGGAAGTTTGTGATCAGCTTTTAAAAGTGTCTGTGCTTCATGATGTTAGTACTGTCACGGTGCACAGATGCTTTCTGAAAATGCTCTAGAGTTCCTTTTGTGTGTGAGAGAGACAGAGAGAATGAGTGAGTAAGGAAGAGAGGGAGAGAGAGGGAGGGAGGAAGGGAAAGAGGAAGAGAGAGGAAAAGAGGGAGAGAGAGGGGAAGAGAGGAAGAGAGGAGGAAGAAAGAGGAAGAGAGGAAGAGAGAGGAAAAGAGGGAGGGAGAGAGGGAGTAAGGGGGGGGAGCATGTGATGTGGAGATCAGAGGTCAATGTCAGGTGTCCTCCTCAGTTACCCTCCATCTTTCTTTTCTGAGACAGGGTCTCTCACTGAACCTTGAATTCCCTGATGTGGCTAGACTGGAATGTCAGCAAGTCCCAGGGAATCTTTCTGTCTGTGATGTTGGAGTCCCAGGCTTCTGGGGACCTAACTTGGGCCATCACACTTACACAGCAAGCCTTTAACTGACTGAGCTATCTCCTCTCCCTGTCTCTGGAGTTGCCTGAACTTCGGAGGCGAGGGAGGAAGCACATTGCCTTTTAGTGTCTGAGTGTTCCACATTTATTCTTCGCACTTTGACCCTGCAATAACTGCTGTCCTACATACGAGGACATTTACCTGGTATGGAATGAGAGCTGTAATAACCTGTGGATACAGAAATATGCATTTAGACGACAGTTTAATGCAGTGCTGTTTGGCAGAATAGTAGTAGGTATTCCCTTAGGGCAGATGAGCTCTCTGGCCATGGTTTCTTTGCTAGATTGATAGCACCAGGCACAGGTTTCCTCCTGTGAAGTGGATTTACCTCTAATAAGGAAAAAACTGGTTTCCCCATAATGCTCAGGCCACTTGTTGTTGTAGCTTGCAGGACTCACAGCTGGATACAACTGGTGACTTTTCTCTCCCAGCAGCCCACACAGCACCTTCTGGAATGGTGAGAGGCAGCCAGCAGGAAGGAGGCTTCCTACTCAGTACCTGTTTGATTACATCATGTCCTGTGACCATGTGTGCACCGCCTTCAACGATCTGGTCCTACCATGTGTTGGTAGGCAGCTGAGGGCAATGCCATCTCTTCTGTTGTTTGAAGGAGGCCTCTGGTTCCATACCTCACTTTTAAATGTCTCACACAGACAAGTCATGCTTTGAAAAGCTGGCAGGTAGAATAGTATATATCTGAACTAAAATCAGAAGAGAAGATTGAAATACCACATTTCTCAGTCTAACAGGGCTGAGGGTGGGGTGGATGTTAACCAGGTATTTGAAATGTTCTGGGGGGCACATTTAGTGAAGTGTTTACTGTGTAAGTGTGAGAACTGGAGTTTGATCCTGATCACCTAGCAGACACTTGTAATCCCAGTGTGGGGAGGAGGACACAAGAGAATCAATCCCTGGGGCTTGCTGACTGGGGGTGGGGGGTCTAGTCTGATTAGTGAGAGACCTTGTGTCAAAAAATTGAGGTGTGTAGCTCTTGAAGGATAGTACTGAAAGTAATTCTTGGGAACACACACATACACACAGATACTTTTTTTTTTTCTTTTTAAAAAAATATGTTTTGGTTTTAGGACTGTGGAGTTCCTGTATTGACAATAAGTGAGAACACATGGTCTGGATTTCAGCCTTTTTTCCCCCTTGGATGTAGTCTTGACTAATGATTTATAATAAGGAAGTTATCTGGACTTAACAACTCACAAAAAAGCAGTTGGACTTTAATTCAAGAAGAACCCAGATATAAATACAGATGTGAGCACAGAGGAAGAGAGTCATGTCCTTTCAGCCTGTGCATTTCTCAATCATGAGTCCCTGAGATTGGACTCAAGTTCTCACACCTGTCTGATGAGCACTGTACTGACTGAGCCGTTTCCCCATCTTAGTTTTCTATATTTCTTTCTTTAAAAACTTTAAAAATGTCCAGATATTGGTGGTACAGCACTTTAATCCCAGCACTTGGGAGGCAGAGATAGGTGGATCTCTCAGTGAATTCAAGGCCAGCTTGGTCTACAGCGTGGGTTCCAGGACAGCCAGGGCTGTTTTACAGAGAAACACTGTGTCAAAAACAAACAAACAGACAGACAAACAAAAAACCTAAGAAAAGAAAACAAAGCAAAAAAAAAAAAAAACCTTTTAAACATTATGTCTATTTTATTTATATGTTGTGGGGGGGCACATGTATCATGTGGGAGTATCAGAGGACAACTTGGAAGAATTAGTTCTCTCCTTCTACCTTATAGGTCCTGGGGACTGAACTCAGGTAATCAGGCTTGAAGACAAATACTTTGGTCCTTGAAGACAAATACTGCTGGCCCCAAGTTTGTATATTTCTGAGAAAAAAGGGGTAAACCTATAATCATTTTTTAAATTCTAAGTTTACATATGAGATTGGAGCATAGCTATGTTTACTGATTTGTGGCAGCACATCCTGAGGTTTGTTAACTTTGTCACATAAACAGAATGAGACTGTGTCTCTATGCACAGGAGGCTGCACCAATTTGCACACATTGCAAGTTTGCCTTATTTTAAGACTGACCTGATCCTCTGTTGACTCATGTAGTTGTCTGATTGTATAATGTAAAATTGTATATTGTCTTCAAAACTCTGCTAAAAATTTGCAGCAGTTTCAAATACAGCTTAGAATCTCTTTGCTTAGGCATGTCTTCTGAGGAAGAAAGAATGTGGTAGAGTGAGGATGTGGAGGGTGAGAGACAGCAAAGTGTTCAACACCAGTCACTCAGCATCTGTGACCAACATTGGTTTAGCACCTGTGGGTGCTGAAGGGGACTGGGGGGCGGGAACTGAGGCTTCCTCCCTGCATTTCTTTTGTCCAGAAATCATTACTTATGCATAAAAATGTCTAGTAAGACCAACACCAAAAGCTGACAGCTGTGATCTCTAGAGGGTAGGATGAAGTTGGTTCTTAGTTTTAATTTTTTATATATATTTTATACTTTATAAATCTGCTGTGGTGAATGTCAAAAAATATCTAAGCTCTCAGATATGGTTTTTATTGAGGTGTGCAGTGCTTAGAGTCCAAGAACTCGGGCAAGCAAAGCAAAAACTCTGCTATTACAAGTAGTTTTCCTGCCAGCCTGCCCCACAGCTGCGACAGCCCCAAATAACACACAGAGACACTGTATTAGATATAAAGCTATTGGCCAGTTACTAAAATTTCTTATTGCCTAGCTCTGTCTTAAATATTAACCCATTTCTATTAATCTAAGTGTTTCCACCTGGTCTTATCTTACCAGAGAGAGGGTCCAGAGTTCTACTGTCTCAGTCCTACATGTTGACTCTCCTTCTACCTCTCCCTGAATCCTCCTTGTCTCCAAGTTCCACCTATCTTGCTTTCCTATTGGCCAACAGTGATTTATTCATTAACCAATACAAGAAATACATTTACAGGATGACATCTCCCATCATTCTGCTACTGAGCTTTGCATTCAAGGACATACCACTTCCGTGTAACTGTAAGAGAAAACACACAGCAGAGTCTGGTCTCAACCATGCACACAGAGAGTCGAGCAGAGCCTAGGTGGATGGGGTTATTTTCAGCATAGCATTTTGGTTTTGTCTCAGAGTGTCATTAGATGGGGAGAGAATTTGCAGTTACCTTTATGAGAGTGTCCTTTACTTTTCTATGTCTTCTGAATGAGTCTAGATGTCCCAAAGTTTTTTATTTTTGTCGCTACCAGTGAGTCGCACCTCCAGCTTCATTGCCATTTATGTAATCACATTTATTTAATCACATTAACTTGTGTACCTTCTCCCAGAACTGGACTCAATCAAGATTTCCCCTCCCACATCCAGAAAAAGTTTCTGCAAAGTCCCAGAAGGTAGCTGTCTGCTATGGGCTCAGCTAACTCTCTTTCCTGGATACTTTGTATTCTCACCCTCCACCTCAGCTAAAAAGGGACAGTTAGACACCATCTTGTCTGAACAAATACAGCCACAGCAGCTCCTTCCTGACCTAGTTCCTAGCCTTCCAGGCTCCCTTTGAGATAAGCCATTGCTAGGAAAGAAGGAGACAAAGTCTCCAAGGACCTTAGTGTTCTCCACAGAGGTCCCTGAGGCTGTTCACCTGGTTTAAACAGTGGACAAAAGGTCTTTTTGAGGACATGTAGAAGCAATTCATTAACTCAGGTTTGTACATTTGCTTAGAGGTACATTGCTGAGTTTAAAACTATGTGGTTCTGAACAGGACCTCTTATGAATAAAGGATTTTTTTTTTTTTTTTTAATGAGATGGCTCAGGCTGGGAGTGTAGCTAAGATGTAGAATGCTTGCCCAACAAATAGAAAGCTCTGGTTCAATCCACAGCACCATATAAAATGAGGAGAATTATGGAATGCTGGTAACCCCAGAGCTTGGGAGGTAGAGATGGGAGGAACAGAAAATCAGGCTCATCCTTGGTTCCGGAAGGAGTGTGAGACTAGCCTGGACTCTATGAACCTGTCTCAATCAATCACTCAATCAGCAGATTTTTTTTTTCTATAGGAAGTGTGAGTTGTTAAATCTACCACCACCCCTAACTTTGCAGTACACCAAGTTTAAATAATAGATAAGATTATTATGTTTAGGCTAGGCATGCTGGGGCACACCTTTGATACCAGCACTCAGAAGGCAGAGGTAGGTGGAGCTCTGTTTGAGCCCAGTGTGTTCTACGTAGAGAATTCCAGGCCTGTTAGTTAGAGCTACAGAGTGAGACTCTGCTTCAAAAAACAACAAAAAGTTGACTTTTCAAAGTGACCACAGTTAAAGGCAAATCAACAGATGTTTTAAATAAGAAAACATTTCGTTTTTCCTTTGTAGTGACAGGGTCACACATGCTAGACAAGCTTTCTTCCAATGAGCTAGACCTCAACCCTCTGTTTTTGTTTTCTTGTGTTTTGTTTGATTTGTGCAGACTGATCTTGGATGTACTCTTTAAGCAAATCTTAAACGTGTAATCCTCCTGCTTCAGCATCCCAATTAACTGAGTTTATAGGCCTATGTCAACAGGCCTTGAGAAATAACCTGTTGCAAATTTAAGCTATTAGGAAAACAAAACCAAAGCCGAAAGAAGAAAAAAAATCTTTGAGGACTGATTCCTCCCCCTCTTTGAACCCTTACTTCCTCCTCTTCCTTCTTGCCCCTCCCTTTCCTGATTTGGTAACAGCCTTTGGTATGAGAATGTTCTGGAGCGATGGGATATGCATGAGAGTTATGGTATTAGGTAGTGGTCATTGACAAGGGTAAGAACTTTGTTGGCAATTATGAGGCTATTGTAAACATTGGCTTCCAGTTCTGGCAGAAACACCTTCAGCATGTGTAGTCTCCTTAGATCAGTCCCTAGGCTTTGTGAAGCATCAATGAGGCAGGGTACAGATTCCTAGTAGAATTGTGGAACCATCCAGAGTAGGAACCATGCAATAACTACAGTCTACTCAGCTGCAGGAGCTGTGGTGAAGATGCAGAACATTTCCCATACACCAAGGGCTTGGTTGCTTTTGTTAAGAATGTGGATTCCTCTCTCTACTTTGAACATAGGCAGCGTCCCAGCTTTGCAGGGAGAGCTGCACTGTCTCTGAGCTTGAAGAAACCTCATTACCACAAAGGTCTAATGAGAAACAAGTTCAAGTAAGGGAAAGCAAGAGCGATGCTAGAGAAAGGTCAGCGAAGAGCACCATGAGCCAGGGGCCTGGCTAGTCCTATACCCTGCTGCCACACCCAACGGCTTGGTTAACATCAATTTTGACTTAAACTTCAAACTATTCATGGTACCCAAATGCCTGTCAATTTTCATTATTCTTCATTTTTTCAGCTTCCAAATAGGTAAAAATATAAAGAACATGTGTATCACAGTTATATCCTATCTCCACCCAGCTGCAGAACAAATACTCCAGAAGTGGACTGCATTGCTTATTAAGGGAGGATGAGGATCCCTGGAGCTCCACTGAAGAGGAGATCCAACATTGTCTGCAGACTAAGAAGCAGCTGTATCAGTTCGTTGAAGAGGTAAGTACTCAGCAGGAACGTGAGGCCAGGGGACAAAGAATTTTCAGACTTTCAGGTCTGGAATTCTGTATTTTGCAAAAGAAGAAACTAAGTCCCAGAGGGCTTACGTGATTTTCTCCAACATGGTGCAACTCCATATTAGGCAGCAAGAAAAGCCTGGGCTGACTTTAGCCAGCTGCCTCCTTTGCATCTTACTCTGGAAACACAGACAGCATGTGCTCAGGGTTGCCCAGGGTCTCCTTGTTTGTTTGTTTTTATTTAGTTTTATTAAGAAAACAGAGAGGCCAAATGATGATATTTTTTATTCATCTCACATGGCTGATAAATACACATTTATTTATTTTGTGTGTGTGTGTGTGTGTGTTTGTGTGTGTGTAAAGAAGAAGAATACTTTGGGAAATTGGAGGTGAGGTCACCTCAATTCATTGTTAACAAATGATAAGTTAGGAAATGCATCTCTGGATGCAAGTTGCTTCACTGGGATCTCTGGCAGAAAGCTCAGGTTTGTTTTACTGTGGTTAGCTGATTTTACTTTTAGATTAAGTCAGATCTATCTCCTGCCTGCTTCCTTCTTAGGAAGCTGGCATTTATAAATATTTGCCTTCTGCCTTTCTGAGAAGGTCAGATGGAGACACTGATATTAAAAATACTCTGCAAGCTGTGAGGCCCCGTGCATGACATCACTGTCTAAGGATATGGTGGGAATTCCCAGTGTGGGAGTAGGCTGTATTCTAGACAACCTCAGCAGTCTATTATGTGTTCCATGGAAACAGTGCTGTTCCCGTGATCAGGGTTCCAGTGGGTGAATTGAGTGGTATTCACAGTATCATCCAGATATCACCTGGAATGTAGCTTCTAAGTCAAATGAATTAGTTTTCCACCTGGCATTCTGTGACTGCTCCTGGGCTGGGTGCCATTTCCAACCCTGTGAAGGTAACTGTACAGGAGGCCTCCGAAAAGCCCAGGCTTTGGATAGCTCTAGAAGAACTTTAGACATGGGACTTCTAAAGCCCTTGATTTAGGGGTACAGTGGGTCATCAGGAAGAGAAATTTGAACTAATCTGAAGGCTGGGGTACTAACAGGCAGAAAGCCTTCTATGTCCTGTAAACATTTGCCCATTTTGAACAGCATCCCACTGAATTCGAAGAGTATCTCGCAGGGAAGGAATCACCATTATGCTTTTAAAGACATTTTCAAACAGATAAAGCCCTTTCAGGTCAGATCAATTAAATTACTTAAGCCTTCTTAAGGAGCTGTAGAGTAGCCTTGACTCATGGTCACCTGACCTGCTTAAAATCATTCTTGTAGAATGACCCTTTCTTCGTTTCTTGCTTTCTTCCTCTCTCTATTCCTACCTCTCTTTCCTTTCCTTCCCTGTCTCTTTCCCTTTTGTCCCTGTCTCCCTCTTTCTTCCTTGCTTCCTGTCCTAGAATAAGAGAAGTAAAGAAAAACAGAAAAGAGAGGAGAAGTGGTCAAATCCACTGTTACTCCTTGTCCCTTCTCCAGAGCCCATGGGACAAATGCCAGTGAATGGTCACAACTAGGGTAGAGTCGAAGCAGAGTGAGACAGAGAGCTTCTACTTTCAGGTACAGGTTCACAGATGATGAGTTTCTGACATTTGCAATGATGTGGCAGTGATGGCATAGACATCAAGAGTAATGTGGGATAAATGGGATTCAGAAGTCATAATGACTCAAGTCAGGCTCTGCTTCCCAAACAGAAAGACTCAGTGTTCCCTTTTGTACTGATCTTCGCCATTGGTTACCACAAAGGGATGGGAATGTCACGATGTTTAGCAAGTTATGGGACTTTGGTATCATTTGTTTGGCATGAACTCAACATTATCAAAAGTAGAGAATAACACAGTGATGCCAAGTCAGACATTCATAGAGTGAACATATCTATGGCCATCTGTGCCTTTTGCGTTGCTTACATTCTATGGTTCAAATTTAGCTAATTGCTTTCAGTTGCTGGGCTTTGTCAATCACACACACACACACACACACACACACACACACACACACACACACGCACAGAGAGTGGAGGAACATAGTTATCGTCAGCTTCATGGAGACCTATGACTGCCCTAAAAGCAGTAGAGATGCCCTTCCGCCTCAGCTGCTCCGAGTGACAACCAGAACTTTCAGACTATCCTTTTGTCATGGTATCTGAAGATCCACCCCAGATCCTTCACGAATACCTATGTTTGGGTAAAAGAAGTTCTATATTGATATCACTGTAAAAATACCTGTCCAATGTCAGGATGAAAATCTAGAAGCATGTGTATTCTGTTAAATTTTTAGGGGAATTAACAAGCTTTATTCAATATTATTTGCAGGTGACTTTGAGAACTGCTGAGGGAATCTCTTCTACAGTTCAAGGTAGTGATATTTTGTAGTTACTTTTACTTGTTAATCTCTACTTCACAAGCTGAATAGCTTTCCAGTCTCTCCTTGCTCCCATTCATACACACCAATTAGATCCTCTCTGCCCACTGCTTGCCATGTTTATTGATTCTCTCTGTACTGAGGACTAACTTCTAGGCATACTCACAGTCAGAATTTTATTCTTTCTTTCTCTTATTTTTTTCCAATATTAACTTTCCCTTGATTTCAATTTCTTCACTTAGTGAATTGTTTTGTTTTTCCAATATACTATAAACAAATCATGTTAAGTATTATCTATAACTTGGCAGGAAGTAAAAAAGATAAAATCCTCCCAAAATTACTCATCTTTTCTGCCTCTGACCACAATGCCTCCCCCCCAAAGCCCCTCACTGCACCCCTCCTTCCTGGGCAAACTCTAACTACCCATGATCTCAGCTGTGGCTTCTACTAGAGGTCACATGCTCACCATCCTGCAGAATTTTCTTCACAACAGTTCTCATTGTCTTGACACTCAGGCTGGTGTATCTAACCTTCCATCAGACTCTCCTCCTCTGGCCAGTGTTCCCTTCACTACTTCATAGCTCTTTTGCTCACAAATTTCTCTTCTTGGAACATTTTTAAGGAAGTTCCCCTGTGTTTTGTTATTTCCATAATACTTCCTTTGATTGTCTCATTGTATGTTATACATGATCTTATCCATGTACCTACACGTCTTCTCTTCCATCACATTGAAGTAACTGTGAAGAAAATATTTGCCAAATCTTAATGCATAGAAAAGGCAATCTTAAAATTCATACTGAAGCATATAAGATCCCAGATAGCCAAAGCAATCTTGAGCATAAAGAATAATGCTGGTGGGGATTTGTAGTTATACTACAGAACCATAGCAACAAAACAGCATAGCACTGATGCAAAAACAGGCATGTAGCTCATTGGAATGGAACAAAAGAAGCCATCATCACCCACAGAGCTACAGATATGATTCTTGACAAATATGTCAAAAGTCCACTTTGGATACAAGTCACCAAAAGATGCACATGTCCACCACACACAGAAGAATGGAGAGAGACAAATAACTAAGAATGGATGGAAGACCTTGATGTAAAACTTGAAAATCTGAAACTATCAGAGATAAGGAGGTACAGACATGGGTGTGGACTTTCTGGAAAGAGCTCCAGGCACTCACACAGAAGCCATCAACTGACAAAAGGGACTTCATGAAATACAGCAAAGGAGATAGTTTATTGAAAGGATAGACAACCAACAAAATGGGAGGAAATCTTTGATAGCTACACACATGACAGAGGGTTAATATTTAGAATGTCAGCACACACACACACACACACACACACACACACACACACACACACACCTCAGAGCACAGAATAAGAAGTCATAACCTGATCAATAAATGGGCAGACAGTTCTCAAAACTCAATAAAACAGGAAATAAATATTCAACCTCACTAGGCATCAGAGAAATGTAAATTAAAACGCTGACATTTCATCTCACCCCAGTCAAAATGGCAGTTAGTCTTAAGAAAACAAGTTACAGCAAGCACTTCTGGGGATGTGGGCAAGAGAACCCTAATGCACTGCTGGTGGAAATGGACAGTCCAGCCCATGTGGTAACAAGTATGGTGGTCATCAAAGCATAAAGCTAACCCTCACATGAACCAGTGTTTACATAAATCAAGACACCACAGGCACACTTGCATGGGTACTCTATGTAAAATAAGTAAATGTGGCACCAATCAATCTAGATGCCTTACAACAGAATAATGGAAGGTAAAATGTCAGACAATGGAATTCTTTCAACTATAAAGAATGAAGTTACATCATTTGTGGAGAAATGGATACAAGTAGAAATAATAAGTGAGTTAAGCCCATCCCAGAAAGACAACTACTACATGCTTTCTATTATATGTAGATCCTAGATTTTATATAAACACACTAAATTATGTACATATGAAAGATATGAAAGTAGAAGGGAAACTATCTATGGGACAAAAATAACTAACAGGTGATGGGAAGTAGGGAGAAGGGGATGGGGGAGTCGGCTCAATGTACATTGTGTATCTGTATGAAAATGTTCTAATGGGACACAAAACCATTGTACCATGAACAATGAATATGTAAAATAAAAAAATTAAAGGTTAATTTTTTAAAAGATTTTATTTATTTCTACCTGCAATTTGCCTGCATGCCAGAAGAGGTCTTATTTTAGATAGTTGTGAGCCACCATGTGGTTGCTGGGAATTGAACTTATGATCTGGAAGAGCAGCCAGTGCTCTTAACCTAAAGGTTAAAATTTGACTCCCAAATCTCTATAGCCATGAAATTATTTCAAATGCAAACTGGACTGACTTGTCTATTAATTATTTAAAAACAAAATTTTAAGGGGGAGGTACAGGCAAATTATCAATTGTGTAGCAAATACAGGAGTGGTGAATGGACACAGTTGAGCACTCTGAAACTAAAGTGTAATTGACTCTGCATCTCCCCATCACATTAGTCTTGGATACCTTCCCAACATGCAGTTACTCTTAGGAATTCACAGCTAATGCCCTGGCCTCAGCAGTCATGCTGGCATTGGAATGATGCAGAGGTTGCCATAGCTCTTGTCCAAAGCATCACACACATTTGGGAAATGTTCTGTATTTTTAAGAACTCTGAAATCGCCCACAAAGGCGAATCAATTGGAGTAACAGCTGGCCTCTCAGCAGAAACCCTGAAGGCCAGGCAATCAGGGCTGATGCTTTTCAAGCCCTGAAATAAAGTAACTGCCAACCAAGACCACTATATCTAGGGCCAACAATATGGTTCCACTGGTCAAGATATTGACAATCTGAGTTGTATCCTCAGGTCAATGAACCAGTTGCAAAAGTTGTCCACTGACCTCCACATGCACACTGCAGCAAACACACACACACACACACACACACACACACAGAGAGAGAGAGAGAGAGAGAGAGAGAGAGAGAGAGAGTTATGTAACACTTAAAACAGACTACTATATTCTGCAAATAAAAATCAGGAGGACCAAACCTAACCTTAGCTACAAAGGAAATTCGAGGCCACCTTAAACTATACAAAACTGTCTCAAGAGAGAGCTAGAAAGATATTTCAGTGGGTAAGAGTGCCTGATGTATAAACATGAGGATCCAAGTTCACTCACACACAAAGCTGGACGTGACCACACATGACTGCATCTATTAGCACTGTAGATAAAGAGATGGGCAGCCACCAGCAAGGCTCCAGGTTCCAAAGCAGAGAATTAAATAGAACAAGACACATGACATCCTCTGCTGACCTATACATGATACATGCACCCTCCATGTGTACATACACAACACACAGACACACACACACAAAGAAAGGAGAGATAAAGATCTTTCATGATCTCACCCCCATACCGCAGTCATCATGAGTATCATAAACACAATAGAACAAACACTGGGGGCACCAGGGAGATCCTCCATACACTGTTGGCAGGAATGGAAATTTGTCCATCTACTGTGGAAATGAGGATGGAGGTTCCTCAGAAGTCTAAAAATAGACCTGTCTCACAGCCCAGCTACACCAGTCCTGGGAATACACCCAAAGGGCTCTAATCTACCTTTCTCCATCTTGCTTGTTTCAAAACCACATAGAATTTATCAAGTTCCTGGGAAGCTTTCAGGAGATTTTTTTGCTCAAGAAGAAAACATCTTCCTAAAATAATAAAAGTAATATTAACTGTGATTTATCACCAATATCAGATTTTAGAAGTGATTTCTCCTTTTTCATTCACTGACTAGTTGTGAAATTTTATTGCCTGGTTTTTCTCCCTGAACTTCCAACCTGGAAGATGGACCAATGCTTTCAACACTGTAACTTGCCTAGCTGCCTCCAACTTCACTTCCTCTGCCCATCAAACCAGACCTTGACATAAGTAGGCCTGAAGCAAATGCAGCTCTTCCCACTGTCTAGTCTTTAAAGGCAGCCAGACATCAAATCTTGTGTTTTGTTTCCTTCAAGCCAGACCGGAACAGCTCCCTGGCCTGTCTTCTGCCTTGAGCCCCAGCTTTAGCTCTCCAGAAATGCTTCACTTCTGTCCCTACTTATCTGTTCACCTCTGTGTCTTGGTTACTTGTGATCTTTCTCCTTGTCCCTGGAGTGGTGCCTGGGGTAGATGTGGTGGGCACTGGGCTTACTGACTGAAAAGGTCTTAACACCATCTCCTCAGCAAGCCCTCCCTGACCTCCAATCAGCTTACCCCCATCTCTGCTTCTCATAAATAATGATTTTATTTTCTGATTGGTATCTCATAAAATATAGCAAGTTCCTCAAGGACTCAGTAGAATCAGTGGCTAATCTGTATAGCTCTGAATAATGTGGTATAATTTCCTGTTCTTGCTATTTTTTTTTTTTTTTTTGCTGATAGAATATGGTTTATCTTAACCACATGTGAGCAGAAATGGGGTTTTGAAGCTAAGTTTTAAAAGACATGATTGTACCGGATATACATATCTGTGTGCAGGTGCTTTGGGAGGCCAGAAGAAGCTGTCACGTGTCCTCTCACAGAGAGCCCCTTGTCTGGCTGGCAGCAGTAACCCAGTGTAAGGAGTATGGTTTTTCCACCTGCTGCCCGGTCTTGTCCCACCGCCGCGCCAGCCCCAAATAACGCGCAGAGACTCTGTATTTGATATTATGCTGTTGGCCAGGTGTTAGTTTCTTATCGGCTAGCTCTGTCTTAATTATTTTTTATTTAATTTTATATAACAAAGTCCAATTAAATGAATACAAACATTTATACACAATATTTGGGAATTTGGGCGTCGTTCTTTCCAAACGACTTCCTGCTGGTAAGGGGCGCTGTCTTGGGGGATTTGAAGAAGATTCAGATATCCTGGCTGTAGTCTGTAGGGCTGTTTTGTCCAGCTGTTTTGAATGTAGGATCAGCTTGTACTCTGTTTCACTGTCTTAATTATTAACCCATTTCTATGTATTTCCACGTGGTCTTACCGAGAGCAGAGGAATGGCGGTTCTGTTCTCTCCAGGCTCTCCATCCTTACTCCTCCTTACTACTTCCTCTTTCCTCCTTGTCTCCTAGTCCCTCCTATCTTCATTTCCTATTGGCCAACAGTGTTTTATTTATTAACCAGTATAAAAAAAATATACAGAATGACATCTCCCATCAACCCAGTACCCTCCGTCTCCATTCCCTCCTTCCCACTGCTCTCGCCTCGGGATACAGGCATGTGCAGTGCCTGGGTCTTCAGACAGGTGCCAAGAAACCAGACTCAGATCCTAAAGTTTGCTCTAGAACTGGCGTTACAGACAGTTGTGTTGGGCTCAAACCCAGGGCAGTGTTCTTCACCCCAAGGCACCTCTCCAGCTCCACTATATGGGCTATTTTATGAAACTACAGGATCGACACCTGGTCAGACACAGCTGTGTATAAACAGGGCAGTGTATCTGAGAACTATTCCGACAAGTGCTAATGTTTCTCTGTGTCTTTTAGAAAAGCAACTAAGTATTCCTTTCCCACCCAGAAGTGGGAAACCTCAGAGAGTGGCAGCTCACATTACCGGAATCAGTCGGAGAAGCAGCTCAGCTTTAGTTCCGAGTAAGATCATGAGGACTGGAGCAGGGGGTGGGGCTGGCAGGGATTGGGATATTGCTGGGGCTGGGGCTGGGGCTGGGGCTGGGGCTGGGGCTGGGGCTGGGGCTGGGGCTGGGGCTGGGGCTGGGGCTGGGGCTGGCAGTGGGGTGGGGGCGTGAATGACACCCAGAAGTCTAGAATTGTTGCAAGTAGTTTATTTTTAGCTTTTATCTGAAATATTTCTATGACTGTAAGTGTCCAACAATGATCAAGTATCTGTTCTGACAGACAAAATTATATGCAAGGTGCCTGGCATAGCTGGCCGTGGAAAAGTGTGATGAGAGAATGAGAATGTTGCTCTCAGACTCCCACTCAGCCACCTTCCCTGCTGCCTTTGCTGTCTTGAGACCACCAGGCCCCTTCCTTCCACCATTACCCTTTTCTTTCTCTTCTTCTGCTAAAACAGTGGCTCATGGAGCCTAGGCTGGCTTTGAACTCCAGTTCCTTCTGTCTCAAGCCCCCAAGGGCTGGAATGGCAGGCAGCACCACACCCAAGCTTTTTTCTTCATCTCTAAAGTCGCCTCTCTCTCTCTCTCTCCATTTGTATCAACTCTTGCTTCTCCTCAAAAGGTCAAATGCACAGCATTGATTTTCACCCACCACAGGTGCTCTGGCCTCGGGGTCAGTCAACAGGGACCCTGTGGGAGGGAGGGAGTGAGAATGAGGGAACAAGAGAGTCGATAGATGAAGACAAGACAGTGTTCTGATCAAGTCTAATGACTATAACCACGGGGTTTAAGTAGTGGGAAAGTGTGGGGATAGGCCAAAGGGACAATGTGAGGGAGGCAGAATGTCCTTCCAACCAGAATGCAGCTGTTCTGCTATAAGTTTCTATATGGTAAGCCTGCAGCTGGGACTCTTTCAGGGTCAGGCTGCATTATATGCTTAACAGGAGAACAGTCTTAGGGGAATGGGAAATTACCAGTATGTTTGTACCTAAGAGAGTAGTAGGAAAGATGGCTGTTAAGATGCTAACTTTGCTCTGGGGTTCCCCCCACACAGGGACTCTCCTGAACCACAGGAACTGCCAAGCTTGGGTGTGCGGGGGTGGGGGGGCATGGCTGACAAATGAGGTACTGAAAAGTGTGGCAATTGCAGCAGGTCAAAGAGGTAGAGGAGGGTCCCAGGGTCATGTGGTTACAAAAGCCTTTGTAATCCAAGTCACACTGAAAGGTTAAGAAGTTGGTTTTGGATGGACATTGAGAAAGCTCAATGAATATACTGATTATGCTGAGCAGCTGGGGGCTCTCCTCACTGTGATGCAAACTTCCTCCTGACGTTTCTCTCCTTTTCCTGTAGTGTCCAAGGATGGGAAGACCTTGGGCCAGAAAATAGAATCCTGGGAATCATCAAGGAAAGGGCATTCATTCCTCAACTATATGCTTTTGAGAAATGGAGAGCTGGTCATCCAGGAACAGGGCCTATATTACATCTACTCCCAGACATACTTCCGGTTTCGAGAGAATGAAGACACTTCCCAGACAGTCTCAAAGAACAGAGGCAAAAACAAGCAAATGGTACAATACATCTACAAATACACCAGCTATCCAGACCCCATCATGCTGATGAAAAGTGCTAGAAACAGTTGCTGGTCCAGAGATGCAGAATATGGACTCTATTCCATCTACCAAGGCGGACTGTTCGAGCTGAAAGAAAATGACAGGATCTTTGTTTCTGTGACAAATGAGCATTTGATGGATTTGGACCAAGAAGCTAGCTTTTTTGGAGCCTTTTTAATTAACTAAATGACCAATGAAGGTCAAACAGTTCTTAAATGTCCAGTCATCTAGAGTGATGACTGTAGTTCGTGCTGTCTCCAGATACCATGCACAAGTCCATGCTCCATGCTGCTGGTGACTGTAAAGGGCAAGGAAGCTACTTTTGCAGTGGTATTGATGGCTGCAGAAAGAGGGACATAGAAGGTTTCTGTGACAACCTCTACCCCTACCACCCCCATACTAACAACCTAGATAGACATGAAGTCAGCTATTAACAAATACAATAATGGCTACTCCTGAGGTGTGGGTAGGGAAGAACTGTTTTCTTTAAGATGCTGGCACTGAGAGTTTGACCATGCTCCAATGAGTATATGGACAACACACATTGGACTTTGATGGGGGGGGGGTTCACAAGAGTAGAGGGTGGGCCTGAAAGGACTGGGAAATGAGTGTGATTGGGTTACAATCCTCCAATTGTCAATGAAAATATTATGTTGAAAAGAAATCACGATATCTCTCACCTAGAGTTTTAGGAGGTGTGTGTATGTGTGTGTAACTTTTTTTATGGTAACTTAGTGTGTGGTTCTCAAGTGTGACCCCTCTGTATAACAACATTGAGTCCCAAATTGGGATTACTGAGCCACTTTAACTTTGGGAGGAGGCAGGACTAAGATCTAAATCTAGGATCTAGATTCCAACACTGAGTGACACCCTGCCTTAATGTTTTAGGTAGCAGAAACAACTGAACACTGTAAGGTGTACGGTTTTTCCTCCTGCTGCCGGTCTGGTCCTGCCGCCACACCAGCCTCAGTTAACACACTGAGACTCTGTATTTGATATAATTCTGTTGGCCCGTTACTTGTTTCTTATCGGCTAGCTCTGTGTTAAGTATTAACCCATTTCTGTTAGTCTAATATTTCCATGTGGTCTTCTTACCAGGGAAAGGGGCCAGCGTCTTGTCTCTCCAGTCTCTCCATCTTGACCCCTCCTTACTACTTCCTCTTTCTTCCTTGTTTCCTAGTCCCACCTATCTTGCTTTCCTATTGGCCAACAGTGCTTTATTCATTAAACCAGTATGAGAAACATATACAGAATGACATCCCCCATCAGAGCACTATTTTAATTCCTGGTCCCCAAGTCTCCACCAAAGGAAACTTCACAGCACTCCCTATTGTTTGCCAGGCTGGCAAATGAAAAGGTCTGATTTCTAATTTTTATGTTGAACATAGACATTCTTTGTTTGCTATTTCGGTATGTTCAAAAGCCATGGTCCCAAGGGTCACTCTACTGAGAATGTGCTGGGGAGCATTTTACAATGCTCACGCCTGGATTCAACCACAAACCAACCGGATCGGAATCTTGGAGTGGTGCCCAAGGATTGTTTTGTGTGTGCATTTTAATTTCCTCAAGTAATTAGCAGGCAGCCTGCAGGACACATATTTATCAAAATGCCAAATGCTATGATTTAGAAATTAAATATTTAAAAATGCAACATATTCAGACCCTCATGATTAGATGTTCAAAGATTTAATTGGTGTGCAACATTAAACCCCATGACTTGTTTAAAGAAGCCTATATAGTCTTTGCTAAAATTGAAAACCCATATCTCAGGAAGCAACAGTGGAGAGAGTATTTTGGAATGATGCCTTTCTGGACAGTCATGAGTCCTTTTTTAAAAAGCACAAATACTTACCTGTTTGAAAAAGAAATAAATTCAGGGGGATGGGATAGGGCCTGCCTGTTCCTTGTTGAGTTCCAACCCAGCAAACCTCCCCACTTGAAGAATAAAGACAAAACTGCCATTCCGGCTTAATTAGACTGGGGGTCCTGGCCAAAGCGCTGGGTTTTAAGTGACAATGATCCCAGAGGACAGGTCCTCTCTGTGGTTTTGGAGAAGTGTCTAGACAAAAGCTTTTTCTCCTGCTCTTCAGACCAAAAGGGGCCATCTTATTGTCACAAACCATTAGTGCCACCAGGTGGCGAGGTTCCCTTAATTTCCTCAAGGTATTTATCCCTTTAAAGATGTGAGTGTAAAAAGTCTTCAAATTCTCAGGTTTAGGTGGCTAACCTTGGATCATAGGCAACTGGAGCTACAGGCAGGAAATCAGCTTGCAGATCAGGCTGGTCTTGAACTCGCATAGATCCACCTGCCTCTGCCTCCCAAGTGCTGGGTTTGAAGGTGTGAGCTTTGTTCTTTTATGTCAAATTCTAGGTCACACTGGTCTTTTGTCTTAAAAGCCCCAGAAAGCCATTTTGATGTCAACACTGAAACTGATCTAGTTATAATAGATATGGAGGCAGAAACAGAGTTCTGATTGTTCTTATTTTGTGAAAAATCAATGTACAAAGCACCCAAGATCACAAGCTATAACCTCTAATGGTTTATATTTTCCTCTTACACTTTTTTAAAAAATTATTTTATTGTCAGTTGTTCTTTACACCTTTGGGATCAATGTATTCTTCTGAATTACATAGTACTGAGACACACTTTGTCATCAATCTGAGGGTCTCTGTATTTGATCTAATGCATTTTCACTTATTTAAAAACTGTAAAATAGGTGCTCATTCATGTGTCTTTGTTCCTTGTTTAGTTTTCACTTTGTACTTTTTACTCATTCTCCAATCTTCTGTAGGATAATCTTAATGTGTTTAATGTAATGTCCTAGTTTACTTTCCTGTTGCTGTAATAAAATACCCTGACAACTACAATTTAAGGGAGGAAGATTTTGGTTTACAGTTCCAGATTATAGCCCACATTGTAGGGAAGTCACAGAGGCAGGAGATTTTGAGGACAATTTAGAACAGACAGCATTGAATTAAGGCAGACTTAGTAGTTCTAATTCACTTTCTTTATTTTTATACAGTCCAGGATCCTAAGCACAGGGAATGATGCCATACACATGAATAGGTTTTCCCACATAAATTAATATAATTAAGATAATCCCTCCTAGACATTCTCAGAGGTCCTTCTACCAGATGATTCTAGATTATTTCAAGTTGACAATTAAAGCTATCACAGGTAACTTTGTAATTTTTAAGGTTTGTTTTTAGTATTTGTTAATTTTGTCTTACAAGACCAATAGTTATGTTCGTTTCTCCATCTAAATGTAAATGTTATTGATCTTTGAATCTTGGATTCTTATCTACCTGCCTCAAACAATGGGGTTTAATTTAAGCAAGCTTCTTGGTTTTCTCTTCGGTGTCTCCATATTGCTGTGGAAACCATCAGTATTAGTGCTGCTGGTGTTGCTATGGGGGGCATTGCTTGCTTACACATTAATGCATGAGTTATTCCTACAAGACAGAACAATGGATTTCTCCACTGGCCTGATCTTATACCATAACTATGGGTTAGCACTACCACTTCCTTTCATTGAATTCAGAGGGAAAGAAACAACCCATGTGAAAGATCTCTTTTGTTTGTTTGTTTGGTATTTTGTTTTGTTTTGAAACAGGGTTTCTCTGTGGTTTTTGGAGCCTGTCCTGTAACTATGTCTTATAGACCAGGTTGGTCTCGAACTCACAGAAATCTGCCTGCCCCTGCCTTCCAAAATGTTGGGATTAAAGGCATGCACCACCACCGCTGGGTGTGAGAGATCTTTTGAACCCACCTCTCATCAGTGACCCCCTGTGCTCCTTCACCCCAGACCTGAGCAACCTCCAACAGGAGGAGGGCACCTCTTACCTTCCTGGTGATCTCTGGACAGGTTTATATCACTTGTCTTTACTACCTGAGGCATGGCAGTCCTGGGATAGGACCAGATTAACAGGCTGTATCAGGGGTCTGTGGTAGCTGCTATCCTATTTGAAACTGTGAATCTAGTTTTGCTCTTATTAGTAGCCATAAGAGAGACTATGTATGCAAATTCTCAAAAATAATTACATCCATGTCTGTGATGCATTATAGAGACATATTTTTCCTCTTAAATTTTAAATGGGTAAGAAGTTTGGACAAAGAAAAACTAACAATTTCATGATAGCAGTATTGAACTATTTTCAGCTGGCAGACTTTAAGGTGAGAGTCATAGTCATGACTAAAATATTAGAAAAAGCTTGCTTCCTCACTTGTTTATTTAAAATTGTAATTTGATTTAAAAAATAGACTAAGGAATATAATGCATAAAGGGCTGGGAACTGGAGAAGTTCATTGTGAGTGCATTTTCCTCTCCTGTGTTTCATTGATAACAAAGTTCAAGGAGAAAATTGCTACACATATTACTTGTACTTGAACATGAACACAGACTTTATTAGGACGATGATAGCTAAGACATTCCTCTCCTTATTATGTTACCTTTTCTAGAACAGGTTGTCTTTAAAACTAGGAAGAGGCTTCAGAAGAGATAGAACACTCATGCTATCTTAGTTACTTTTCTTGTTGCTATGACAGGATACTTTGCAAAATCAATGCAAGAAAGGAAGGGTTTATTTTGGCTGCAAGTTTGAGGATAGAGTCCATCATGGTGAGGAAGCCATGGAGGCTCCTGGTGGACCAGTTGTCACATTGAGGCAGTTAATCACATTGTTCCCAGAGTCAGGATGAGGAGGGTAACAGATGCTCCTATCCTGCTCCCTCCTTCCTTTTTATTCAGTCCAGGATTTCAGCCTGTGTGTGTGTGTGTGTGTGTGTGTGTGTGTGTGTGTGTGTGTGTGTGTATTCTTTATTGATTCTATGGAAATTTCACATCCCAATCCCGCTCATCTCCTAATCCCTCTTTATCCACCCCTCACATTTGCAGCATCCCCCCCACAAAGAAAATACCCTCAGATTAATTAAAAACAAAACAAACAAAAAACTACCTCTCTTCTCTGTCTTTCCAACACCCTTCATTTGTCCTGGTGGCATTGAAAGCCAAGGCGTGTCACAAAGTGTACCAGTTTGTCTGTCTAATCAGCCCCACTCACAAATGTTCATTGCAGCTAGTCATTGGTCTGATATGGGAGGCCATGGTGATGTCTGGGCCTAAACTTCTGCCAAGCGCCATGTCTGGGTCCACCCAGATCAGTGTGGACCCAGTGGCCACATGAACCTTGGACACTAACATGATCTCAGGTGGCTGACCAGACCCTGGACATCTGCAGAGCTCTTGGTGGTTACAGGAGTCATGGTCATCAACTCAGACCCTGGCTGTTGCAGGGCCATGGACCCAGACATGACCTTAGGTAGTAGCTCAGGCCCAGATGTCACTATGCCTCTGAGTGGCCTGCCATCCAAATCAGTATGGCCTTGGTGGCAGCATAGTCTCAGGTGGCTGACCAAGACCCTGGGCTTCTGCATGATCCCTGGTGGTAACAGGAGCCATAGAAAAAAATAAAAGATTATTTATGTGCCTTCCCACATGTTATTTCCTTAAAGGACTAAACCAAATAAGCATAAAACATACTATATTCTCTAATTTTCTATAAATTATTAATAA